AAATTTCAGTGGTCCCGCCTATTCATCATTGTCGCCATTATCACCATTATCACAAATGCTCCATTTCTATTTTTCACCTCCGAAGAGCCTGGTCCATTTGTGAGAATTGTCAAAAAACTTGGGGATGATGTTTAGGAATTTCTCTAATTACCCTAATTATCTTTTTCTTCTTAATTATAAAATTTTTTGCATTCAGTGTGATCTTTGCTGTCCTTTCGTCGTTGTCCTCTCTTTTTTTGAATAGAATTATTTTTTCAAAACTTTGGAATAAATTTAAATATGAAAAGCTTTGAAAAATCTCAACACAATAAACCTATTGTCCCATTTAACCTCTATAAAACCGCCCCAAAAACAGCTAAAACCCATTTTCAGCCAGAAATTTTCAGCAAAAATGCTGAAAATTTCCAAAATTATAATTCTAATTCTTCTGGTTTTCACGAGTACTGTAGTTTCGGATAACTATACATGTAATGCGTGTGGACAAAGAGTTTATGGGACTTATTTGCCAAATGATGTCCAAACTCTTATCACATTTGTGGAATTGATGTCTACAGTAAGTTGGAAATTTTGAAAAAGTTCGAAATTTCAAAAATAACATTTTTCAAAATTTGAAATTCGAAAAGTCGAAACTAATTTTGGAATTTTCCGTTTGGATTTTTTGAATTTCTTAAATTTGGAATTTTCTAGAATTTTTTGAACTTTTCTGGTAATTCAGGAATTCTGAAATTCAGAAAATCAGAAATTCAGGAATTCAGAAAATTTAGAAATTCAGAAATTCAGAAATTCAGAAATTCAGAAATTCAGAAATTCAGAAATTCAGAAAATCAGAAATTCAGAAATTCAGAAATTCAGAAATTCAGAAATTCAGAAATTCAGAAAATTTAAAAATTCAGAAATTCAGAAATTCAAAAATTCAGAAATTTAGAAGTTCAGAAATTTAAAAGTTCAGAAATTCAGAAATTCAGAAATTCAGAAATTCAGAAAATCAGAAATTCAGAAATTCAGAAATTCACAAAATCAGAAATTCAGAAATTCAGAAATTCAGAAAATCAGAAATTCAGAAATTCAGAAATTCACAAAATCAGAAATTCAGAAATTCAGAAATTCACAAAATCAGAAATTCAGAAATTCAGAAGTTCAGAAATTCAGAAATTTAGAAGTTCAGAAATTCAGAAATTCAGAAATTCAGAAATTCAGAAATTCAGAAATTCAGAAATTCAGAAATTCAGAAATTCAGAAATTCAGAAATTCAGAAAATTTAGAAATTCAGAAATTCAGAAATTCAGAAATTCAGAAATTCAGAAATTCAGAAATTCAAATTTTTAATTTTCCAGCACTACTACTGTCCAAGCAACATTCTATCTATCAGTGGAGGATTGTACCAACTACATCGTGACCCCATTCAGCTTCTTCTACCGTATCTTTTATGCCGTCGCATTCCCATTCAGAGACTACTACTGTCGTCCATTCTGTGATGGAGGCACTGGAGAGGACTATGAACTAGTTCTTTGAGTTTTGAAAAAAAAATGATTACGATTTTTTTTTTTGGAAATTTTTGAATGAATGAATCGCTTGTGAGCATTAGTTCGATTTTTCATACTTACCGTACGTTAACTTGAAACTCAATTATCTCGATTCCTGTAAAAGATATTAAAAAGTTGTCGATGATATTATGATAAATAATTTATCAGTTTACGCATTTTTGATATCTTTTATAGGAGCCGAGATAAGTGAGCTTAAAATTAACAGTGTAGGGGCCCTTCTAATACAGGTTTTATGGCATCCAAAAAATTCGGAAATACCAAAAGAAACTCTGGAAATACCAAAGGAAAACTGGAAATCTGAAAAATCTAAATATCCTAAAAATCTGAAAGTCCAGAAATTCTGAAAAACCAAAATATCTGAAAATTCCAAGAGTTCTGCAATTTCAAAAAATCTAAA